ATTTTTGTTTATAATAACGGTTTTACAAATGACAAGCCTGAACGAAAACCTTCACAATACTATTCAGAATGATGACCTTGACAACATATTAAAAAATCATCGAAATCGAAGATAGCTCCCTTATTGTAAATATTTACCTAAGTATCGTCCCAACGCGTTGCGCTGTATTCGAACGTGTGTTGGATCGGCTACCAATTAACAATGCCGTACGGAAACATGGAAAGGGAAACATAGGGAGAGGCGTGGACACTCCCGGATTAAGATTTTTGGGGCCCGGGGCATTAAACCTTTGAGGGCTCCCTTGGTAGAGGAGGGGGGCGGGGGGCGCTATTAGCATTTTTCATTTTAATAATGCTTCGTTATACAGGGTGGACTACGAAAAATGATCAACTTAGATTATTATACTAGGTGTTCGATGGAAATTTTTTTTGGTAGCATAACATGATTCAAGGAGAGCTTTACGATGATTATAACAAATTTTTTGTCAACCCCTTCTTTCAGAGTTTTGATGGTCACCTTCAGTTTTTTTGTAGATAAATCTGTAATTTTGTCTACGCCCATTCTTTAGTGGATACCGAGACGAATTCGGCAAGCATTATAACAAATAATTTTTTTTCTTCTAAACCAAAGGAACATTAAGAAAATGTCATTTACTTTACTTAAACCGATGTTCAAAATGGCGTCCATCAGCTGCAATACACTCGCGTAAACGAAGAAACAACTGCTTAGTTTCATTTATGACGTCAGCACCGATGGTTAAGCATGCAAGGAAAATTTGAATTGCACAGCTAGCAGTAGAATAATCTAACATTGTTGTTAATTTTCTCAACAACGAGGGCCTATGTGGCGGAACCCCAATAGGGTTTCTTTGTGCACAGTTTATACTTTAAGTGAGAAAAGTTTGAACCAAATCTGAGAGTTACATTTGGAGTCGTCTTCTTAGAAAACGATCACGTTTCGTGGTTTACCCTGCATATTAATTACTTTCGTCCGATTTATTTCTACATTTAGTACAATTTCTAATGATTTCAAAAGGGAAATAGTAAACAAAATTTAATTCAATCATTTTTTGACATAAATGCAATGTTTAAAACGGGGCCTCCCTAGAAAGTGGGGCCCAGGGCCGCGACCCCCCCTAGTCCCCCCATTGATCCGGCACTGGACACGGAACACCGTACGGCGAAAGACACACAGGACGATCATCCCGTTTACGTACTCACATGAAACATCCATTAAACGGTAGAACGGGATAACTTGGAATAAACATCGATTAATCGTATGCATCAACCTTTAGAGCTGTACGAAGGGACGTTCTGGAGTGCCCTTTCTTTAATTGGAGCCTTGTCGTCGGCGCAATTGACATTATGCGTTTTGAGTTTGATCGTCCCATGTTGTTCGTCACATTATCGATCAGTATCGTGTACATGTGAAGGGAATATGGATTCTCCATCTTTTTATCTTTCTTTTCTGAACCCTCTATAACGTTATGTAACTTCGAAGTCACATGTTATGCAGGGTGTCATACCTAGTTTGAGCACCTTGATCCCTTCGAGACTGACGGAACAATACCTTGCAAGGTAACTTCTAGAATGTCTGCTGGGATATATGCTCCCAAATGCAATTATCTGTCTTTATACATAAAATTTATAAAGAAAGAGATGTATTAGATATTCAGATACGATACGTTCCCTTGCGAGCAAACTCGGCTACTGCTAGGGGAAAAAGTGGTGTAAAAGAAGTCTCCTACCACTTAGTAAATTTATTTCAAGTACTGAAATAAATGGTAAACCGAATGGTAATTTGGCATAAATTTCAGTAATTTCCAAAACTAATTGGTAAGAGGCCCTTCGCCTACCTCACTTTTTTTCCTAGCGGAAGCCGAATTTGCTCGTCGATGTTCATGCTGTAGAGTTGGACTCTGTATTAAATGTTTCACACCTTACCATTCATAATACTTTAATTGATTACCTTATTCTGTCAACCATTTTACTTTCTTAATCATTTTGTAAAAACATTTCAATAAATAGACTTTTTTTCCTGTTGTTATATTTCTTTCTGTCACCATTGAGATCTATTAGGGCATATAATCCCATTATGAAGGACTAATGGGACTATACATATAACGTATCTCAAGGTAGTATGAAACTCTACAAGAAAAAAATATGTCAAAAAGGGAGAATCATATTTTTCAGGTGATGTTTCGTTTTCGAGATAATCGAACTTGAACAGTTGTTGGATACTAGAGATGGCGTGCAAAATCACTAACGGTGATTTATCACAGTGATCGCCGAATCACGATTACGGTCGTGATTTAACTTCATTCACGACCGTGATTGCGATTTTTTTATCTGGAGTGAATTTGCTCTCTGCGATCGTAAGTCTTTGATCTTTAAACAGAAAAACGTATTCAATATGATTTTACGACGAATTACATTACTATTTGTTTTTTTTTAAATCAGTAGAAAAAACAAGAAATTCTAAAAGAACGATTTGCTAGGTAACATGTAGATTATAATTTATAATCATTAATTTTGCGTTGTATCTAGTTATTCCTCCACTTTATACGATATAACTTAAATTTTTGTTTCGATGTCTTTAATATAAAATATACAGGCTATGTTCAGAAACAATCACGAAAAATCACGAATCACTGTGAAAAATCATCGTGATTGGGAGCGAACGTGATCGAATCACGCGTAAGATTCACAAGTAGCAGCTCACGCCATCTTTAGACTACACAGGCAACAGGATAGGGCTCGGCTAACGCGTCTGTTCCTCGCAGACAGTTTCTACTTACTGTCAGCACGAATACACGCGTTTAAGGTGCGTAGGCTGTGTCATTAATTGACTGCATACCAGTGAATGACCATTAGGCAAGAAATGTAAATTATAAATTTAAAAATTGTTAAATGTTTATAAGTGTAGCGTTGATGCACTTTTAATATCTCATATTTTTAGTTTAGTGTGTTAAGCAAACATTAATAAGTATAATTATTATTAAAAATATTTCAGAAATGAAGCAGTCATTTACTGGGCTTCTACACGTTTTATACTTTATAAATAATTTTATTAAAATCACTATAAGAGTAAGTAATTATTTTTATAAAAATTTCAAGAAAAATATATGCAATTGCAATTTTAACACTTGTTTTGTTGTTATAAATAAACACATTCAAGTATTAATCCCATATGTCCATAAATGCAACAATTCGGTCATTCACTGGTTGATTTACTCTATTTATCTGTTGCGTATACTCGTATTGTATCATGGTTGCGTATCATCGTATCGCTATACGATACATTTTCATACGCAACGATGCAACGCTTGCCCGTCCAGATTGATACACAATAATGATACGATACGAGGATACGCACCTTAAGATGAATGTTCAAATTCAATTGTCTCCAAAATGAAACCTGAGACGAAAAAAATTAATTCATTTTTTTTACTTATTTTTTCTTAGAGAATCACCTGCCGGGTTGTATTATCTGACACCCTTGTATATCCTATTTCAAAGTTACGTTAACTCTATCTTTTTTCTTCATGTTTGAGTGTATTATATCCTGTACTATCATACTATTGAGTTTTGCGTTGAGAAGAACTTCGCCTCAAAAAGATAAAATATTTCACTTGTTTTTAATGATAGGAAAGAATGTGAGAGGAGAACATTATTTGTTTGGAAGGGATAAATATTCTGATGAGCAACAAATTTTTCCCGAAGGTCATATTTTTCAAGATTTTAAGGTCTTCGATACTGTTTTAAAGTGGGCCTAGATATTTTTATCACCGTGACGTAATACTTGAGGTCAAGCTCAGTCCAATGATTAACAATACCAAGACCTTAATGTAACCTCGAGCACGAAAAATCCAAAAATGTATGGGAATGGATGTAAATATTATTTACTAAATAATAAAATAACTACGATAGATGGCCAACATTTTTTACTCTTACATTTTTTCCTAGTGTCAAAAACAAGTGAGATATTGATAGTGCTCAAGTTAGGTGAGACATCTTGTATATCCCTATTTTTGGTCTTATTTCTTTTTTCCCCATAAGGTAGCATAGCATCTTATGTGTCAGTTCTTCATAATCAAGGCGTCTAATATATAATAATAAATAAACAAAATAAAAAAATCAAATCTTTGAAAGTTTTAAAAGATTCGTTAGTTCATATCCGAAGGGCAATATTCGATAATTTTACCTTGTATCATTTCTTCTGAATACGACAAAAAAAATCGAGTTATAGAGGGTTAACGGTCTTGTCGGTCACCAGTGACCGTCACGTGACACAATTTCAATCGTCAAGCAATACAATCGACCGTGAATGGATATTCAACCGAAACAGACTCTGCGGTGAACGGCGTTAAATACAGTAAATCGTCGATGAATGTTCGAAGGCTTCTCGGCACTGAACATTAAATATTTCATAAACTAATAGCCATATGCGGCTGAAACAAATACCATTCGTTTCATAATTCCAAGGTCTATCACTCTGCTAAACCTCATTAAGAAGTCAGTGTTACATCACGCGACCTCTCCTTGTCAATGTCAAGGAGCCTTCGAACACTTATCGAGAATTCACTATAGTTAAATAGAAATATTCTCCTGTATTCACCTTAACGGTCGCGTACGGTCGTAAACTCAAAAGTTCTACCCAAAAATTGACTTCGAATTACTCTTGTAAAGTGGCGCCTACTCGAACATAATCGATTTCGAAGTAGAATTATTCGCCCCCTTCGATGGTGAAGATTTTCGTCGGGGGCACGTGTGGTTAATTATCTCACGTATGGTTAGTATCTCGATGATCCCCATTTTTCAGAGTTTAGCATCTTTCTCCCTGGCTTTTGTCACCGTACGACACTCGTGAAGTTCGATTCTTTACCTTAGAACGGCGTTCTGTACTCGACGTGTTTTCGTTAGTCACGACGAGGATAACACAGAGTTGATTATGCGGTGTCAGACGAGGAGCTCCTTCGCGAAGTCCTCGGCAAGCATGTCCTACAAGTATTCGTCCACACGGTCGTTCTCGTCCGGCGGGCTGGGCTCGCTGACGCTGAGTATCGGCAGACCGAAGTGCTGCACGTCGAAGCTCGACTCGAGCGTGTTTTTCGCGTAGTCGTAGCTCCTCCAGTGATGGGGACAGGTTGGACGAGCGTCGTTTACGCAAGACGGCCCGTAATACCTGGGGATTTAATTGAACATACCTTGTCTTACAAGGGAACTTCGGGGACTGATACACTCCGATTTTGATGAAACTTTGCATAAATATTTATTAGACCTATCTAACAAGGGAAGGCACGGGAGTGTCCCCCTCCGATTTTGATGAAATTTCGTGTGTCTATTAAGCAGAAACCACCCTTCGAAGTTTCGATCCGAAAATTTTTTGTTATAAATAAATTATATTTTGGATAATTTGTTAGCATCATATTATTCTACATAAAAAACCGCAAACCTTTTCCATTAGAAGTTTTCATGTAACTTTGGTTTTCGAGATAGTACTTTCGGGTCGCAACTTCCGGGGGTGGTTTCAACCCTTAAAGTCGCGTCTCAGTCGATAAACAAAAATACGTATCCCTTATTTTTGACTGCTTAACAGACATACGATGGTTCATCAAAATCGGAGGGGGACACTTCCGTGCCTTCCCTTCTAAGAAGATAGCTGTAATTCGTTCGTGCCCGTTTTTCACTTTGAGGGAGATATCAACCCTTTTATCCGAACCGCCCTTTCTATAACATGCTTATAAGTCGTAAACAACAAAAGATATAAAAAAAATGATTGGAATAAAAGTTATATCGTTTCTTGAGAACTATAAAGCTGCGTTTGTTGATTAAAAATAAAATACAGTTCTTCAAAAAGGGGGATGGGGAATTCAATTTTCCAAAAAGAATAATTTTTTCAAAAAAATTTACATGCAGCTTTATAGATCGCAAGAAACGGTATAACTTTTATTTTAACCATGTTTTGATATCTTTTGTTGTTTACGACTTATAAGCACGCATATGGAAAGGGCAGTTCGGATAAAAGGGTTGATATCTCCCTCAATTACAGCTATCTTCTTAGATAGGTCTAATAAATATTTATGCAAAGTTTTATCAAAATCGGAGTGTATCAGTCCCCGATGTTCTCTTGTTAGTCGATTAAATACACGTTCTACGTCGTCTTGATTACTTTAATTCTTGCCCCTGGTGATACTGGATCGTTTTTTTACATATACAGTATGGGAAAGTGGGGACACTTGATCAGTAGGGATACATGATCATAAAGATGATACTGTATTCCGTCGATCACTGTTTGACTGGTTCTACACGATTTTTGTCAGGCGTCATCCCCACCACTAGGGGAGGGGGGTGGCTGTGAAACCATGTCAAGTGAATAGTTTCTTGTCCCCTCCCCCACTTTTGTTACCAAAATTCGGGCTTCCAAAAAAAAAAACAAATTTACGCGGGTCTGAAGCATTTCTTCTGTTCGATGCTTCTCGCGTCGCGGACCCGAGTTCTTGACAATAATCGACAGAACACTGTACAATTAATGTATTGGAAATATTTGCCTATTTCCGTGTTTTAAATGTAATGTCCGCAATATGGTAACACTGTAGCTTGCAATTGTCTTTCTGCTGCATAGGATAAAGAAGTTAAAAGCATTTATTTTTTTAAACAAAAAGTAAATACTTCGGTTGTCGTTTACTTCTTTCGTTTGAAGTGAATACTGGATTTCCAAGGGTTTTCAACAAATTAGGTGAAAACAGCAGTTCTTTTTGTATCTGTAGCTATCTTTATACTAAAAGAGATAGTCAAGGTGAGTTTAATTACTAAATTTTGTGAAAGTCAAATGCATTGAAAAAGAAAAGTTAATGATGGTAACTAGTGACAGTAATAGTCTATAAATCTGTTTGTTGTTTATTAGAATAAAGTTTGTTTTTCAAGTTTATATGTTATTTATTGGAGTAAAGTTTCTTTTGAATAAAGTCAATGGGCTATTTGCTTTAGAAACTATAGTGATCCCCTTCGGTGAAGGATACTTATGCATATTTTCATGAAAAGCAAATGTTTAATTTCAATAAGTAAACGTAACGTCTACTTATCAATTATTTGCATGTTTATTGGATATACTTTAAGAACTGTTATATAAATAATGAGATGTAAATAAAATAAAAGGTTATGTCGATGAAAAGGCAAAACTGTGATCAACTATATCCACTTCCCCCTACCGGTCAAAAGTACCACCTTTCGGTTAATTTAGTAGTTTTTAGGTTTCTTGAATATAATTTCGTTCAGATTGCAAGGATCCCTATCAAATCATAGTATATTTTGATGGTGGGTATAACTTATTAAATAAATGGCTTTTATCAAGTTATGAAGGCAGGAACTTATAACGAAATTAATTTTGTTTAGAATCCATAAAATAAGTTAAACACTGGGTCAGCGTTCTTCCGACTTAAGGTCAATTCCCACTATCCGTCTAGCCGGCGGCAAGCTAGCTGTCGTCAAGCAACCGTCAGTTGCAACTGGCTAGCGGTCAGCAGGCGGCAAGTGTGAATGCCATCGTTTGAAAAGCATTGGAGAAAGTTTTGACGGCGGCCAGCCTGCCGCCGGTTATACGGATAGTTGGAATTGGCCTTTACACATCAGCTGTCCCATATAGTAAAGTCGTCTTAACTGCGCATAAAAGCCTCGAGTTGACTGCCCGCGTCAAAGTGTTTATGCGCAGTTAAGGGGTTATGCCTACCTATACATTTTAAAGAAATCGATTTTTGGGTTTTAATATTTTCTTACAGTATATCATTTTAGAAATATTGTGTAAAAGTTTGAATTTGATTCGACCAAAATTGGTGGAGTTACGCCCGTTTAAAGTATACGGCCTTGGAAGTTTCGGAGCAGATATAAAGTGGCAGAATCCCTTTCTAGGGGTGCGTGAGTCATGAATACTGTGCCCAAATGCAATTTATGGTTGTGTTAGTAAATACACAAAGCTAGATGAAGCCGTAATACTAAGAATAACTATGTATATATAAAAAATTTGCATTGTTTCGGTTGTAAACCTGACTTAAGAGTTTAAACGTGTTTTTCTCAAAATCACATTTTCAAAACCGGTGACCCAAATATCTCGAGAACCGCTGGACCGAACTGATTCAGCTTTGGTGGACTCATTCTATACATAAAAATGTAGTGCCTGATCGTGGCTTTTTGTATTTCATTGCGTAGTTTTCATTTTATAGATAAAAAATGAACGATTCTGTCGTAAATTAATTTTTCAGAATAATGAACGATTGGGCACTAGATAATTTAATACATTAACTAAATTTGCTCGGATTTTTTATTTTAGATAAACGAACTCGAAATTACTGTGGTCACCGCCAAACGCCTAAAATAAAAACGCCGCCGAGTGATCGCAGATATTTCCCTTATTTATTCATATTTTGCATTGAAGAAATTATTATAAGCATTTTAAAATGTACACTTTCGAATACAATGACGTATGTTTAAAAAAGACTTCAAGTTTTTTAAAAATAAATTCCGAAAGTACATGTCTTTTTTCGTGCTCGCAGGTAGGCATAACCCCTTAAAGCGACTTTACTATATGAGACAGCTGACGTGTGACTCAGGAATACGCTGATCCATACATTTTTGGAACCTTAACCCAGATAACTATATTCTTGGGAACAGTGCACAGAGATAAATGTAATTGCACATTTTGTTTGAAGAAAATTCGAAGTTTCCATATACACAGACAGCTTTTTGTTATTATTCTGTATTTTAAACATTTATTTTTCTATCCAATAAATGCAAATCCGATTATCAAGATGTAATATAAATTTAAGGTTAATAATAATATATTTTATCCTTTAGAAGATTTACCAAAAAAGTGTCGTTGCTTTTTAAAGTAATGAAATTATTCATTCAGAATCAAGAATAATTAAGATTGTGTTGGAACGCACTGTAAGAAGATAAATATGTACTTCTAATACCTCTAAAATACTTCTAAATACTTCTAAATACTTCTAAATATTTCTAAAAAACCTGTTTATACAAAATCTTCACTAACACACTCATATTCGAAGAATTATGTATTCCAACAATGTAAAATGAAATAGAAGAATGATTTTTGTAAATTTAGTGCTTTCGTGTTTTCTTAAAATACAATTATAAAAATAAATAAATAAATATGTAGCTCATGGTACGTTTCCCATTGGTAACTTTGTTTCCCCGATTAGAAAAAGAGTTAGAGCCTATGTTACTAACTAGATCTACTCTATTCCGTGTTTAAAATTGACAAAATTAAACTTACACCTTTCGCTTAATAAACCATTCGAAGCATCGTGGAAATTCTTTATTACATTCCAAATATTTAAGATTTATATCTGCAAAAGTGAAAAATATGAACACAAAATTAAAAGTTTCTACTTTTTCCTTTGCAACGTTTTTAGGATTGCAACTGTTATGGCAATCAGTTGTCACACTACACAACTGTGGCCTGTTAAATGTGTGTATATACCTTGTGCATGACATTGGCATGTGACCAAGTCTCGAGGGTGGTCCTTAAAGGGAAAGGTATCTGCAGGCTGAAGTGACGTCAATTGCGGTGTGTATACAGAGTGATCCGCTTAAAACAGACCATCTAAATATCTTCTCTATCTGTGATCATACGAGAAATACTTTCTACGTAATTTAAATGGTTTCATGAGATGAATCGGATGGTGGCAAAAATTTATTATAAGTGTCATTTTTTAATGTTTTTTTCAAGGTCACTCATGTTGTTTTACGTACATAATTTTTCCTGTTATAACCAACATTTTTATGCATTTATTCACGTATAATAATATGACTTTGAAACGACCTTGAACTCTAAAAAATTAAATTTAATTATAAAAAGTTTACTCTAATAATTTAAAATTCACTTATATACTTTTTTCCACCATCTGATCGTATCTTGAAACCCTTTAAATTACGTAAAAAATATTTCTTGTATGATCACAGGTAGAGAAGATATTTAGATAGTCTGTTTTAAGCGGAACACCCTGTATATGGAACATCGTCGAAGAATGTATGGGACGTGGAACGTTTCAAAATAAAAATATCGTCGCTTTTCTTATGAATTCATAGGTACATGTATTGTGCACTGTGGATTCTGGCATACTTGAAAATCTGATTTCGTGGAGACAAATCGAAATAAAACTTTATCAGAGTTGGACGTGACTCGTGGTACAACTGAAAGGGCGCAATGTTTCGTGTAAAAATGACTGAAATAAATGGAACGTGTGGAATAAACCTTCTCTGTACGTGATAAAATCGATTTTTCACAAATATCAGCTTATATTTACAGGGCAAAAATAAGTCGGAAATGTAAAATAAATTTTTTTTGTGTACCTAATGCTTTGTTTTTAAGATAATTAATTTAAAAAATTCATCTAATATGTACAATCATCTCAGAAAGTAAATGATCATTTCCTCTAAGTTTTTTAATTAAAAAACAACAATGAACGTCGTATTACTACGAGGCAAGAGATTCTTGCGTTTCCTTTGACATTTATTGGAGATTCATTAGCATGTTCAATATTTCTTTGAGCAGTATTTTGGTGAAATATTGTATGAAATACGGTTGGTCGTTAACTTACTTTCCGAGGCGACTGTACAGCCGTGGCCAAAAGTATTGAGCACCCCTTATAATATGAATTTTTAAAAAATATTTTTGTCAATATTTTATTAGGCTACCCTTTGCCCTAATGTCTGACAATCACAGCAACTTCTTTCTGACTTTTACCCTGTTCTTTAAAAAAGAAAAAGGATTAACATGCGTCGATTGTCATCCAGTTCACTCTTTTCCAGCATATTTCAAGGAAAACTTTTTAACTTTCGAAACATTAACAGTAAAACTAAAGACAAGTTGATGTGTGTTTTAGCAGCGAGTACTGAGAGCAGACCAGAGATGGGCAAATTCGTTCACTAGATAAAAAATTTCGAATAACGAATAAAAGATAAAAAAAATACTTCGCCATTTTTAATAGCATAACCGTGAAAATTTCAATTTTTACAATAACACAATACTTCTTCTCGAATAAGTAGACACTTAGCAAACAATTATTTCATTTCATTAACTGTTCAAATTGGTCAGGATGACGATCCCATATACAGGGCGTAACAAAAATGTTGTCCGACCCAGAAATATGATTGGTCGGGGTTTTTCGTTAATATCTCGGTAATGAAGCCTCAGATTACATTGTTGCTAAGGAAAAACTTGTTCCAATTCACCCCCCGAGTGCCCCATTTTCGGGTCGGACAACATTTTTGTTATACCCTGTATAACTGCTGCTTTTCACGAATAAAAGTGTTCCCAACTCTGGAGCAGACTGTAACTGTTACAAAGAAACAGAAAATGTAGACTATGGACTGCTCAGTTGCTTTATGACCTACTATAAACATTGTCAACTGTTTTAAAATTCCTTTGAATTGCCCAACAAAGGATGATGAACAACGGAAAGGTTTCAAAGAAATAGTTTTCGTAGCAAGCTGTAATAATTAGACTGCGGATGTTTATGCATTTATAGCAATTTTTAACATGCAAAATGCATGAAGGTAAAGATTTTAATCAAATTTAGTGATATTTATATATTACTATCAACATAATAAGACATTTAGTACAGGATCTAGATTTCTATCCGATTTTAATGTTTATAAATTAATGCCTAAAACTCTGAATTTGCATAAACATCCGCAGTCTAGTAATAATAAATGTGTCTAATACTTTTGGTCCAGGCTGTACGTCTTCGTGCTGACAATAAGTAAAAACGGGATGTAATAAACAGACGCGTTAGCCAAGTCCTATTCAATTGCACCCCGTATCCAGCAGATATTTCTGTGGTGGGTGGGAAGATGAGTACAAGTCAGAATTATGAGTTTTGCTGAGAAGCACTTGTAATTAGACTGCGGATGTTTGTTCCATTTATAGCAGCACTATGAAAAGTCGCCCTGGATTTCCGTGGAATCCCGTTTTTTATTCGAAGGGATTTTAGGATCTAACTGAAGATACGGTAAAAGACCTATTTACTGCCATCTAACAAATTATTATCATCCTAGACTGTTTTACTTAAAAGAACAAATAAAGTTTGTAAAGTTGTACATAAAGAAAATTCTGCATGCTGTTCTGCAATTCTAAATACTGTCACTTTTTTCGGTTAGCGTAAGGCTTTGTTTTCGTATGCAATTACTGCCACGACAATAATAAAAAAAATTATTGAGATGCTTGTACCAATCACTATCACCCAAATATTAAACTAAAAAATTTAACGAATCGTTGAATTATGATCGACATTATTTTCTATGATCTTTATATTATCTAAAACATTACATTTTATTATGTTACTAGCTCAAATACTACAACTATAGCCTTCCCTTTAATACCTTGTTCCCTTTCGCTAGTAAGGAAGTCGTCGTTTTTACTCTCCCAATCAACTAAATATTTTTGATCATTTTACAAAAATTAATGGGAAAAGGAAATTAAGTGCTGCTTTTTCTAACGTATGAATTACAGTTTTAATTGTATGTAGAATTTTCTTTATGTATAACTTCACAAAGTTTATTTGTTATTTTGTTATTTGTTTCTACCCTATACAAATAATGTCCAATGCTGAGAAACTAAAGTTAAAATATCTTTTAAACTAATCATTTTTCGACCCTAATACCTCAACACTTTACTGTAGAGATTTAAAAAATGCATCGAATGGCGTATAAAAAAATGTATAGCTTCATTTAAAAAAATATAAATGACCTTAAAATCGTTTGAACGTCTCTTTTTTCTAAGAAGACACATGCACCACGTGATGCATCACACGAAAGCGTTTATTTTTTCTTCATAAAAATTTTTTTCTCTATTTTATCGTTTCAACGCTATGGATTGGCCCAGATGCGTGGAACGCCCTGTATAACACGAAAGAAATTCCGTACCGCTCGTCCATGGAAGCCGGTTGCACAGGAACGTATCCGTGACTTCCGCTGGCTCGCCAACCCCCGAAGTGTCGGCCAACGAATGACGATGATGTCGCGATTGGAAAATCCCTGAAACATTAATAGGAATTCCCTATAGTTTTCTACAGAAACTTCTCCACAGAAACATGAATAGGAATTCTCTATTCGGTTAGAACCTCGACTATCGAAACACTCGTTTTATTCAAACGTCGCCTAAGAGGGTTGCTCAGTTTGACTGGTTCAATAAATTCGAAATATCTTTTTCCCATGATACGGTACCAAAAATGAAGTGTGTTAGAAAGATATTTGAGAGAAGAAAAATAATTCCCACAGTTGCTCTTGCCTTTATAAATTACCTCAATACATGTCATTTTGCATAAAAATCTGCGGTCTACTAATGAATAGTCTTGATATTATTATCTGTTCTGCTGTGGGAAGTTTGTTTGAATAGTTTGCTTCAACTCTTTTGAATTTATCATTCTAAAGTGCATCACAGCTACTATCCATACACCTATTTTGTACAAATTTTAAAGCATTATTCTAAAGAATTATAAATTCTATTGCAGAAAAATGTTATCGGGTTTAAAACAATATTAATTGACTTCAAACGATTTTTCAAAGTGAATTCTAGGTTAATAGGGTAGGACGTAAAGTAAGAACGACAAAAACATGATAATGATCTGATGCCATCTGATGGCTAAAAGGGAGACTTTTAATATCAGAGAGTTGAAACAAGAAATAACCTATTAACGTCAAAAATATAAGTTCTTTAAAAATAGATGTGCAGGAAAATAACAACTCCAAGTGAAACAGGGGAATAATTTGATAAGTCTACGAAAAACTGAATTTAAGACGTTAAACGACAATTCAAGGATAACCTAAGAAGTAACTATTTGAAAAAATAATTATTCATAGGGGAAAAAGCTGACAAGTCTACGAAATTTGTTAAAAAACCAAAGGCATAACTAATGTTATGACAATACTTTTGAAACGTTTAAGGGACGACTGAAACACACATTTAATCCCAAAACCAAATAAAAACACAGGTTTGATAATATAAGATTGGTTCAGAACAAAATTAAACCAATCATGGTTCTTGAGTGGAAGTCTAATACAGGGTGGTCTAAAAGTCACGAAACGATCTGTCTAAAAGTCACGAACGATAGTTCCTTTTAATTTTTGTTTCAGATATTTACAGTATGGATAAACTCACGTTAAAACAACGGGTCGAAATAGTGTATTTGTTTGCCTCGAACCAAGAGTCAATTACTCTCACGCAAAAAGCTTACAGCGAGCGCTTCAACACGGAAGAGCTGTCATCAGAGTCAATGATTCGTCGTTTAATCGCACATTTCCGGCAACACGGTTCAGTAATCGACCTTCCACCATCTAGAAGTCCAAGTCGAGAAGAAGCAACAATATTAAGAAGGACACGTTCTGGCCGACTTGGGTCGTCTCGAAAGTCATCATAAAGTGTTTCAACGAAACACTTGTACCCTTATAAAGTTCAATCACTGCAAGAATTTGCAGTTCGAATTTAAGAACTGGCGCCAGAAGATAATAATTTTATTCACAGACTTTTTTCATTTTATTAATTTCCATTCAGACGGTTACGTTGACAAGCAAAACTGTATATTCTGGGGCACTAAAGTTTGAAGACTATAGTCCCCTAAATGCACTGTTGGGTGTGGTGTAACATCCCAAAGAATCATGGGACTTTACTATTTTGAGACTGCAGATGGCAGCACAGCAACGGTAACTGAAAATCGATATCGAACGAAGATCGAAAGATTCTTGCAATCTGAAGCAGTGAGCATACTTCAGATGTGGTTTCAGCAAAATGGAGTCACTGCTCATGTAGCTGAAGTTACGATAGAGGTCTTAAAGCAAATTTTTGGAGATCGAATAATCTCACGAAATTCTGAAATAGTGTATCCAACACCTGATTTCTTTATTTGCGGCTATCTTAAAGGATTCAGCTTCAGGCTGAAATTAGAGGGTTGTTTTTTAAAGGGTACATCTTTGTGAATCAAATATTGGATGGCAGTTGACAGTAATATCAGTAATACTGTCCGAAATTAGCGCAACAAAAATTCCATTTTGTAAACTTCATTATATAAAATATTCAATTAAATATTATTACGATTTTTTTAGTCTTTCGTGTTTTTTGGACAAACGTTTATACACTTTAGATAATAATCAAGGTTCCAAGGCTGAAAATTGAAATTATTCCATTCTTTTAACTTTATTATATAAAGTATTTAATAAAATGTTATGTTAAATTATTATTTAAAAAAAGTTATTACGATTTTAAATTTTGTTTTGACTTTTGGGCCACCTTGTAAGAATTCTTACTTCTTACTTCTAAAGTGGAGTGATAGAATAGTTTATGCACAGTCTAATTCAATCAGACAAAGTAACGTATGGATGGAACACGTGTTACGACACAATATTTATTACGAACATATCAAAATCCTATTTTATGGAGATTAGGCTCGCCAAGTTAAGTGTACGTTACGTGTATAATATTTTCGATATTCATGCATCACGCGAGCAATACGTAATACTCTTTACGTCGTACATCAAGTTAATCCGAGATGAAGAAAAAAATTATATAATGAAGGTTAATACAATATAATGGATTTATGTAATTCTCACGCTTGTGCACAATCATTCGTTTGGAATGCCATAGAAAAGAGCTTTCAACTGTAATCGAATGTTAAACTCCAAATAATGGAAGGGAAAGAATTTCAATATTTGATTTTTTAAATATTTATCGGAGGCCACATGAATCAAAAATTAAAGGAAATTGATGTTTTTAGTAGTAATTACTAGAGTGAGTTTCATAAATATACTAATGTCCTAAAAACTGAACGACATAAGATTTTGGTGAAGCATTTTTGTACAGTTTTATTTTACATAGGTGCAAAAGGAAAAAACAATTACGATAATTTAGCCAAGATTACATAATAATGTAACACAGAAAAATATTTTATTCAACCCTTGCATGTCAGACCGTGAAAGCAGATGGCCGGGTCACTCGTAACCGATGCCACACGCTGTATATACTATATAACATTTTCAAATTTATTTAAATAAATAAATTTATAATATACTATTTATATAATTATTTTTTAATTTTATTTATTTTTTTAATAACTCTTCAAAAATAATATAAAGTTCCTATTTTTATAAAAATTGATTTCAGTTCATTCGTTAGATAGATCCTATTCTGAACAGATCCTCTAACCTACCTCAAAATCGTCTATTCATTTACACGAGGTAATTATCTATAATAAAAAATTACTTTCACATGAATTATTTGATTATTTTTAAGATAAACACAGTACAATAGTCATGTGTCTCGTGTTTTTTTCAACGAGCCTTTTTTATTTTAACCAAGTAATTCAAATAATTGTATGTTTTGAATAGATTAATGAATTAGTCATCCCAATATTCATTCTAACATGGAATTAATTCCGTCGTATCTATGTAAACTATCTAGTAAAAGAGAATTTGAACTATTTGCGAGCCATAGCACTTCATGTACGCAGTCACTCCTGTAATATTCCACATTATTCTAAATTCTCTGCAGCACTTGAAGCTATGCGAAACTCTGCGTATGAATTCCTGATCCAGGAACCAGAAACGGCAATAAAATTGCTAATTCGGAATAATGGATTAAGGAAGAAGAAATATGCACGATACGTTTCGCATAAAGGATAAAGTATTGCTGAGTCTCGAGGAATCATAAAACATTTATGAACACACCCGTGGTTGATATATCGCGAGTATGCTTTGATTACTGCATTCAGAAAATGTGCCGGATTAAACAGATAAACGAATCGAATGAAACCAATATACTCGTTCCATTGACTTGCATTCTGTTTTCGAACGATAAAAATTCATGGCTGTCAATAATAACCATAAACAACAAATTTATGTGTTTTTCATTCAAGAGTTTAGACTGCTATAGTTCTTAGAGTTATAAGGTAATAAACTTTTAGCAAACTTTATTTTATATACAGAGAGTTTGGCTCCGGTGTTAGAAAGATTAAGGGGAGATTCTACATGTAAAAGTAAAACAAAAATCAAGAATGGCGAAATTGTGTTGGAGACTTCGTTTTCAAGTTATTATCAGATAAAAATTCGGGACAGAAACGCCTGATTCAGGCAATCTGCGTACAAGTGGTACACTTAGGGCGTGACAGTGCCGACGCGTATATTGGTGACGCCTAAAAAAAAATACATTTTTACCTCGTAGCGAAACAAGTGTAGCCACGTACTCCAACGAGGAGTATTTTTATGCGACATTTCGTTAAAAAGTACACACGAATTGTTGCACAATATTAAACCTGGTTATTCGTTTAAATTCGCGAGGGAGACCACACACACAGAATAAACAGTAACTAAAACAAAACTCACTATAATAAATAAATAAAATTAATATTATAAAAAAATTCGAGAGCTATTTCACGCCGACTAGATGTGTTCACGTAGACAACCGCCACCAAACTAAGAAAACGTTACTGGAGTTCCATGCAAAGGACAGAAACGTAATAAAAATGTGTAAACAATGAGTGGATATATTACCTGTTCTTCGACATTCTTACCAACGGTCGCGAATGACTTACAGATGTTGGATTTGTATTAAGGAAAATGTACATATCACATGTTTGGATAAGAAGTAAGGGCGTTCTTTTCTCAAGGCACACCAGTGTATATGTCGGTACTGTTGTGCGCTACGTTTACTGACTGTACGTAGATTGCCTGGTTTCAGGCGTTTCTGACATCAATTTTTCATCGTTAATAATTTGAAAACGAAGTCTCCAATACAATTTCGTTATTCTCAATTTTCGTTTTATTTTGACTTTCGTTTTATTATGATGTTTTCCTTTTAAACTTTTGTCTCATCGCCAATTGTATATTCCTTCTTAATTATCACTGTATTAAGTTGCTAAAATTGAATTTGCCAGTAAATAAATTAGGAAATTTATTATCGTGGGATCAATGGATGTTTGCAATTGTAATATTCACTCACGATTCGTGTTGTAAGTAACGTTGACTACGCTAACTAGGACATCGCAGTT